GAACAAGAAAATCCCGCCTTCAGTGTTTTCAGCCACCATCATACCGTCGAGGGCTCAAGCAATGATTGGTGGATTCTAGCTCAGGCTGTATTGAAATCTTAAATCAATACTTTTCTTTCCATGACACAGTTCTCTTTTTGTCATTGTTTTGAGTATAACACAGTTTTTTTTCCTGTCTAACTTTCTATGTGTGCGCTGCATTTGTGTTACAGGCCACTGATAAGGACACTGGGAATTACAGTGAGATGGCATACCGCCTGATTATCCCACCCACACCTGAGGGCCAGGACAGCTTTGTCATCGAGACATACACGGGTGACGTCAAGTCGGCCACCATGTTTCGAAATATGCGCAGGTCCTACTTCAGGTTTGAAGTTATTGCAACAGACGACTATGGAAAAGGTCTCAGCAGCAGGGCTGAAGTGGTGGTGAGTATCCAGTATTGTGCCTTTTATAGCATATATATGTATGCTGATCAATATATGTACTGCACGGGTATTGGGCTGTGTGCACACTGGTCACCTGCACACTGGTGGCATATTGATTGCATGTGGCTTCCACAGCATGGTATCTCAGCAGAGAACGGTCCTTTGAAATATGAAATCAGTTTTGAATGTCATCTGTCTATATTTCATTGATAGATGAGCCTTATCAAAAGGGGCATCCCAGCATCAAAGTCAATGTAGTAGTCATCGGGGAGTGTTGCACAGACTGTGAACACTGTTGAGTGAGATCTTCTGTAGCTCTGGAGGAGTTTTACATGTTTTGTCGTGTCTGAGAAAATGACTCAAGGGTCATCACTTTAGAGCTAGCCTTATATTAAACAGATAAGTCTGCATTATAAACATAAGAATAGAAGAAGAAGGTGTAAGAAAGGACATTTCAAGTTGCGATATGGGAAGTGTAGGCTCCAGTGTTTTTTTATACTTGACGTAGTAAAAGTCAGGATATCTTGGCATCTGCTGCACAGACTTCTATTTTCTAAGTCCCGCATTCTTAAATGTAAATTATTAGCCATTATATGGTCACATTATATTTTTTATGTTTGTAATTCTGCTCCTGTTAAGCACTTTGTGACTAATGTCTGTGAAAAGCGCTTTATGAATAAATCGTACTTACTTACTATTTTCTGGAAGTTCAATATCAAGTCGCTGGAGTACACCATAAACATGTTGTTTGTTTTATAGAGTAAAATTTTATACAGCAGAATTGTTGGCACGAAAGTCTGTTTTAATAATTATGTCAGTCTATCAAAAGATGTCTGCCATGAAGAACCACCACAAACTAGTTATGGTTTATTCATTTTGAAACCTCTTTTTTTTCCCAAACTAATTTGTTCATGATGAGCCTAGATAGTGCTTTTTTTTGTTTGTGTTTACTCAGTGCCAAATGTTTTGGTTCCAATCTATTGAATTATTCACAGTAGGTATAGGACACACAACATGTGGCCTCTGCCACCGGCTGATGATCTAATTAAACTGTTTCTCTCAGAAATGTGTATTAACTTTGTACACATTACGTGCATTTGTGTGTGTCTGTGCGTGTGTTTGCCTAAATGGGTGTCTCTCGTCTTTGTCTGGCTTTCTTTTTTCCGAATAATTTCCCCACGCACACGCTGTGATTGGGTTCAGCTTTGTTCCCAATTCAATGCTTATCTTTCCTGACTGTGGAAAGGATTATTTTTCGTTTCAGTGAAATATGTCTGGCTAACAAGCCTCTAACAAGACAGAAGGAGGGTCTGGGACATTGCCTGCTTATGGGAGAGCAGCAAGTGCGGAACCATGGTGCTCGTTAATTTTCAAGGGGAAACCTAATTTCACAGGAATCGCATGGGAGATTTGGCTTCAGAGCACAGAGGCTGTTGCCTATGCACTTATATGCGGCATCAGAATTAAAGCCTGTTAAGTTTGCCGCATGGCACCAATGCAAGCAGGCAATTAAAGGGTCCCTTTTGATTTGACTGAAGCATTTGAATGTGTCGACCAAACTCACAGTAGGACATATGTGACACACTGGCTTAATCGCAATTTATTTCTATTTTCTGCTGTCTGTTTTACCACTTGGTCTGTTATTTCTCTCTTTCCCTCAATCCTTCTCTTTCTCAGGTTTCTGTGGTCAACGCGTTGGACATGCAAGTTGTTGTGTCCACTGTCCCGCCCACTTTAGTGGAAGAGTATAAAGAGCAGCTCATTAGGTAAGACAGCCTTTATTGATATTGACAAAAAAATAATTACTTTGTTAAATCAGTAGAAACCAACATCAGTGTACATGTTTGTGATCATTTCAATAAAATGCAAGCTACTGTGTAATAAGGAGGGGAAATATTCACCTTTCAACAAATGACCGTTAACTCATTTTTATCTTGCTCTCTTCCATACAACATATTATTTTCAGGACATTTCCTTGCCCTCTAATATTCCTTTTGTTAATTGACACTGGAAAATGAATTGCATCTTTTTGTGCGGCACTATGGTAAAGGGGTGAACTTGGTTCAAGGTGGCACCTTGATTTGCATATACAATTATTTTAGGAGGCCTGGAGTGACATATGTGATTCAGCTGTCCCAAACGACAATTGGAAATAAACAGGAACCAATAACAAAAAATGTTACGTACAACTTGTCTGTTGTTATCAATTAGGATCATGGATTAGCCAATGAGACGGTTGAGTCTATCCTTATAGAGTCTGTTTTCCTGGTCCAAATTAATTAATGATGGAGATTTATGAAACGTCTTTTTGCAGGTCTTGGGGCACCGTGTTTAATCTAATTAGTCAATCTAAAAGGCAAATGGGTGTTAATAGTTGTTTTCAAGAGCTTGCTGTGTGTCTCCCACACAAATGGCACTGCTCTTTAGGCTGAAAAACGCACACATTAGTCACGTTAAGCTCTTTGCAGTGATGACATTTGAGAGGTCTACGATTTTGAAAAGTGCCTTTCATGATCCCGGGCCATTTTACCTGAGTGCTCAAACTGTTTATCCACCTTGGCAAAGGCAGACAGCAAAGCATTTCTCTATTGGCTGTAATTTGAGGTGTGGATTGCTCCCTGCCTGAACAGGATTATCAAAGCCTTGCTTTGCCAAGAGCCCAGTTGTGAAGCAAAAAGCAGCCCAATGAGACAATCATTGCCAGAATTGGAGTGCTTAAGATCGGTGGCTCTGATACTGCTTCGGGCACAGAGGTGCCAAGAAAATATTTGAACTAATGCGAACCTGGTTTTTGGTGTATTTAAGCCGTTATTGCTTTCCTTATATAAGTTTGACCTGTGGTTTTGTTTTCATTTCAGTGTTTTGGAGCGCCACATCCAGGATCAAATTCCAGGTGCCAAAGTGATTGTAGAGTCAATCGGGCCACGTCGTCATGGGGATGGCTTTGAACTAGAGGACTACAGTAAGTCGGACCTGATGGTGTACGCCATTGACCCGCTCACCAACAGGGCCATTTCACCCAAGGAACTTTTCAAGTGAGTGGGTGTATTTTATTACAAGATGTATAGGTTTAAATGTATGTTCACATGTCCATGCTGTGCTGCTTCTTCCCTGCAGGTCTGCCTTTACTTTCTTTATAAGAGTTTGTTTATCCTTGTTTACCTTCCATGTGGCACAGAAAAGGGGATAATATCAGGGAGAAAAAGGAAGGGGTGTGGTTAGGAAGAGACAAAGTGAGAGTGAAGCAGGGAGTATTTCAATGAGTCCACTTAACCCGTCATGCCAGAGCCTTTAAAGAGCCTGCAGAAATGCCAACAACACATTTTACTCCTTTTGTTTGGGGACATGGAGATGGAGAGATTTCTGTTTCTGTTGGACCACTGAGAGACCATGTTCACATGCTATTAAAGCAACAGAGAAAAAGTGCCTACATGACACTATTTCATCCCTTCAGAAGAAAGAAGAGCCTGAGCTGGCAAACCTGAGAACAATCTCACCTTTCTCATGTTATTCAGCCCCTCTGTCAAACCGATCAGACACTACTAATCTTAAAGAGGCAACTCCATCAGAGCATGACAGTGGCCAATCAATAGGAAACACCCCCTTTCTGAGTTGTCCCCTTCACTCTCTACCAATTTGCTCCCCTGCTTGACTTACATTGAACTATCTGACAGTATCTTCGGTCTTTATTTGTCATTATATGCTTGCTGCCAATTCTGTTTTGTGTGTGGCTTCTAAGAAACCTTCCCCCTTGTCTTTGAAATGAGATTGTGACCATTTCAGTTCCTTTTGAAATGCTCCACTCAAATGACATTTAGAGGTGCTTTGTGTATGTATTTAATTAATCTATAGACATTAGCTTAGTGTCCTTGATATATCAGAGGAGTGCCTCAAACTGTTATTTTAAGTGGGGGATTGAGGCCGGTGCCATTGAAAAGGTGGCACTTGTGTCATAAGAACAGCTCTTTTTCAACCCACATTTTAAGGGAGGCTTACTGCATCCCTGCTTTAATACAAGTCTGATTCCGTAGACACGGATACTGGCAGGACAATCATTTAGACTAGAGGAGAAAGGCTTTTTATGTATGCAGTGTGTGTGTCTTACAATGTTGTGGGGTAATTGCATGTAATATATCTGTGACTTGCCTGTCAGAATACAGAGATAAAAAAGAGAGAGGCACCATAGTGAGACAATTCTTGTATTATAGAGTGTCCTTATGCCACCTTGAATACAGCGCTCTCTACCATTTGACCTCTCTAGAGGATGGATTGCCAGAGAAAACAGTTGATAACCTTGATCTCCGCTCATTTATTCACCTATAAAAAAACAAAAATGACAGTGATTTGATGTGGCAGTTTGCTCAGTCCTCTGTGAAGCAGAATGTTTGAAAGCCACTCAAGTTATTGTTACAAAATAACAATGGGAGAACAATGAGTGGATTGCTCCTATGCATCTTCATTTTATATATATATATAATATTGATGCAAATTCTGTCGCAAGAGTGAAAAAACACATTTTTGGTAGAAAGGTCACACGAAGAATTTAATTTATCTTCTTTTGACACATCATTTGCACTTAAAGTTTAAAATGAATGAGCAGTATGTAGATAATAATAATGTGCTGATCTAATTTACCAGATTCCACTGACCTTGAAACAATTGTGTCTCAGCAAATGACGCACTTAAACTTTTTATTTTTCTTGGGGCAGTGGAAACAAGATGAGAGCACAACATTAACATTTTATCACCTTTTGAGTTGTTATGGTGGGTTTTTTTTCTACTTACTGTATTTACCAATCCAGCAGTTACAGATCAGAATCATTCATTTAGCTCTATCTTGGGTCTCTAACATAGACAGTAGATGAGAAGTGGACGTAGTCACTGTGGCGTCACCCATTGGTTTGTGGACTGCCGTTTTGAAGCCTTGAGTTTGCACTTTTAGTCGGCACCATCTTGGTTTTTGGTTATCACCATCTTGGCTTTTTACAACCAGAAGTGACACAAGAGGGTGAAGTTCAACCGAACGCTGAATAAGACATTTTTAGGCTACCAAAACTATTAAAATGGACTTTTACAAACTGAAAACACAATGTGAAAGGGTTAAAGATGTAAGATGAAAAAATGGACAACTTCCAGACCAGACAACGCCACCACAAGGTAGCCCGTCCTAAAGCATACCCTGCTTTGTCGTCTATTATGCTCTAAATGGGACAATAATTAACTAAATGAACATCATGCTGGATTAAAGAAGACTTGAAACTAGCGACTGAGACATAAACACATGTTCACAATGTTTACTGAGGTAATAAATCAAGTGAGAAGTAGGGTCATTTTCTCATAGACTTCTATACAATCACACAAACACACTTTTTGCAACCAGAGGAGTCGCCTCCTGCTGGCTATTAGAAAGAATGTAAGGTTAAGGCACTTCCGCATTGGCTTCACTTTTCAGACTCGGAGGTTGCAGCTTAGTCTCTACCAGCTTTAAAGGGAAATGTCTTGTTCTTTAGCTGTGCCATCTGCCAGTTAGTGTACAGTGGGGTTTTTCGAAAAACTGAAAACAGCAGGCAGCAGGCAGCTGAAAACAGCTGCCTGCTGCAGTGAAAGATGACACTATGAGAGCTGTGGGAGTAAACCAAAACAGTAAAGCTGTGGGCTAAACAATGAGCTAAAACTTTTTAGCAAGTTTTTGTAAAGCTGAGCTGCAGATCCGGGTGATAAATATTTGTCGGTTCATCATTAGCGAGCAACCCCTTTCACATTGTCTCATTGTTTTCACATCATCATTTGATACATTGTTTTTACTAAAATATTGATTATAGCTGCTTTAACATAAATATGAGTTTGCAAGATTAATATTGAGATTATTCTCCTGTTCCTATTATGTGTTGTAAATCACAGATTTCTCGATGGGAATGTGCTGGAAATCAACAAGGAGTTCCAGCCATATCTTGGCGAGGGCGGCCGCGTCCTGGAGATCCGCTCCCCGGACATTGTGGCCAGTGTGAAGAAGGCGGCCCAAGCTGTGGGCTACACAGAGGGAGCTCTCCTGGCCCTGGCCATCATCATCATCCTCTGCTGCATCCCTGCCATCCTCATCGTCATGGTCACCTACAAACAGTGAGTACTCTCGCCTCAGTAATCATCACTGGCTTCTGTAATCGATTCATCATATTTAAACTGTTGTCAGGAAGTTAAGAGGGAAATACATTTTAATTAAGCAGACCATTGTCTTGGGAGATGTTGTGTTTCACTTGGTTTTAGCGGAAACGTTTGCTCCTCACAGACTAATCAGACATTTATTGTTATTTTATTGTTCTCTGTACCCTCTGGCCCGCAAAACCGCAAACAGAATTGTTGAAAAGGGTATTTGTTAGGTTTTTAAGATAAATCGAGAGCAGTTCTTCCCTGTTTGCTGCCTTTTTGTGTGTGCGTGTGCATGTCTCTCTCTCTCTCTCTCTCTCTCTCCCTCTCTCTCATCAGACATGCTGACTGCGCACTCTGCTGGGCTAATCTCCTTGCTCATGCTCTGTGAAAGCAGATTAATTAACACTCATTTGTGACAAATATCTACAGCCAATTATGACCGTCATAGTGCGTCTTCACGCTACTTAATCATCTCTGCCTGACACACACACAATAAACAGAGTCTGGCTTGTTCAAACTCTCTCATTCACACACACACACTGTGCAGTTTATGCTTTTTGTTCGAAGGTGAGGTAGTGGAACTCTTGCCTGGCTGGAGTAGGGGTCTTACCTCTAATCGTTGGTATGCTGCAAATGTTCCATAAACAGTGATGTTTGGGAAATGTTTATTCACGGCAGATGGGCAGAGTTGTTGTCCCTATGCAAATGCACAGAACACACAGCAGAAAGCTGTTGATGGTGACATTACACCTAACACACAAACTGTCACAGCAGATGGCACTTTGTTGTAGTATTACTTTGGTCAAATTAAATGATTTAGGAAATCAGTTTCTGCGTGTCAACATAATTCTCTGTTGCCTTAATTTGGGAATGAGGGTAATATTTAAAACATGAATCTGTTTATTCATGTGGAATAATTGAGTTTTGTTGTGAATAAGTTATGTTGATATGAAGCACAGTAGATTCACTTAAGGATAAAGCCACGGCTACTTTTGCATGTAGCCCTGCAGTCACTGCTGGAGGCTTGAGTGCTTGCTACTTTGTGTAGAAATTGGAGTGAACGTACAGAATGTTTTCTGCTGTTGTGTGGTGTAATAGATTAACACTATCTGTTATACGAAGATATTTAGTTGTCTGTGAAAGGATTGCATGACCAATGTTCATCACTTAATCCAACGTGTCTGTGATGTGTCACCTCCCAACATTAAAATACCTCCTAGCATTAAAATTGTATGAAGCTTACACTCTTGACAAATTATGCAATTACTCACCTTTTTTATCTCTTATTCCTCTCTCTTCCTGTCTTCTCTCATTTCTTCTGAATCAAAACCAATAACCAGGTTCAAAGAGTAAGTAATCATTTCTTCTCTTCATGTTTTACAAGAGATTGCTTGAAGTGCGTGTGTCTCTCTCATATTCATTATTCAGTAGTTCTTTAAAGACGAGTGGAATGTGTGAAGATAATGAACAAAATGCATGCTATCTAATGGCACTCTTTGGGAAATGTCTGCCAGTATAATGACATAAAGCAACAGTGACTCATCTTGTAGGTTACAGAATGAATTTTTATTTTGGCAGTTTAGATTCATGTGGAGAAAGGAAAATCAACCCAAAGTCAACAAGACATGTAGTTCTGTGCAGCTTTCAGAGTAAACAAGTAGCTGGTGAAGAGAACTGAACAAGCTTTCAGTCGACAGCTAGCATGTTATCCATAAGAAGTTAACCTAATTTAAATAGCTTCTAGTTTGCTTTGGAATCTGTTTTCTGACCTTAACAGTCAAAAAAAAAAAGCTTACTGCTGTTTTAATAATATAAGAATAGATGTCACCTAAACCTCATCTAGGCATGGGACGACAGGAAAATATAATGTCACGATTGTCCGGGCCAAAATAAATGTGATTCACAATATTTTTATTGCATCACAGATAGGACACACATCTCCTTTTAGTAAACAATGTTTGCAGTGGAAAACAAACAATCTTAAATAAGATGATTGTAAATCATAGAGTCCCCCCTGCATAAATAAAGGATAAATACAAATAAAACAAATAGCAACTGTTCCTTTTCCACAAACTCTATATCATCCTATCGCTAACATCATCCCATTATATCGAGTTATTCTTTGCCTCTCCCACAATATTTATTTGAGATGATTGAACATAACAGGAACTTTAATTTTACTGCCAGTTACTGCATGTGCCTCCTTTTTGAAAAGGAAAACTTGTGAAAACGCATCGTTAATTCATGGTAGATGGTTCATGTGTCTGGCTTCTGCTCACTTTTTAACCACACTGTTCTAGAAAGGAGTAGTTCCTTCTTAACTACATTAACTGTGAAAGAAACATTTGGGGTTGATTTTCCTTCATCTGCCTGTGCGTGAGGTTTGTTTTTCTGTGGACCAGAAACATTACCTTGGTGACTGTGAAATGTTGACACTTTGCACAGGCGACAGGCAGAGTGTGCCAAAACTGCCAGGATCCAGATGGCTTTACCACCAGGAGGGAAAGCAGCTCCGGCGGGTGCTCCCAGTGCTAACCTCTATGAGGAGCTGGGCGACAGCAGCATGTGAGTCAACCCTGACCCCTTTTTATCTACCCCCCACCCCACCTGTTCCCATGATAAGCAGGTACTCTTGGTCTGCAGGTTCCCTTCTTTGAGTTTCTTCTCTGAAAAAAAGAAATGCTCTCATGTTGAATGCCAGTACCACTGCCTTAGTATTCTCCTGCTTTTGACACCAGCTGTTGTCTACTATTCAGAATAATTCCCCTCTGCTTTTCTAAAATGACTCCTGGCAGCTCTGCATGTTGACCTCAGACATCCACCTTCTGCTTTAGACATATTCGTACCTACATCAATGGATCTCCCTGCTATTTCGCTTCCTAACCATTGTCCACTTCAAATGTAGCAAACCACACAGCACAGCCTGTGATAAGACTTGTGTTCTTATCTGACTGTGTATGCATTTTTGCAAGACGCTCTTTCAAGGTAAGAAGAGTGTGTTGTGTTTGTAAAATATCTGTATAGTTTACTGGAAACAAAAACAAACACAGAGTCTGGCCTGTGCTTCGTAATTGTTTTTTATAAATTACTTTGATTAACATCTACATTAAATGCTTCCTGAGCTTACCTTGATATCTAGTGTTTTGCCATCTCATTCCTCCTTTCATTTAGAATAATACCCCAAACGTCTAATGAATTGTTAATACTTGCTGATTAAAGGAATTTTAAATGAGACTAAATTGAATTTAAACAGCTGCCCCGCTGAGTTTAATCATTTTGATTTACAGCATATAAACAAATACTGCTATTAACATTACATTCGGCGTGATAAAAAAGAAAATAAAAGCTCAACGGCAAGCTGTAAAGAGCTTGTGTAATGTTTGCAACAGATGTTGACCAACACTCAACAACAAGCAGAAGCTTACGATTCTGTAGCAGAAGAGCTCTCGTGGGGATTGGGTTGTAGCCGAGCAACGTTTATTTGGGGATTATATTCCAAGAAGAGTTAGTCCTATAAACAACCCCATTAAAAGTTAGTGTAAAGTTTTTTTATACAGACAGGTATAGTGTGTGTGGGTGTGTGTGCGTGTGTGTGTGTGTGTCGATAACGTAAATCATTACAGTTTAGGGTGAGGACTTGCTTTAAGTTTACATCTAGATTAAGGGTAAAGTTAAATTTAGGGTTAGGGTGAGGCTGGTAGCGGTTATTGTTGGGGTGAGTCTCCAAAAAATTGAGTGCAAGGCAATGTAATGTCCCCACAAGTCATGAAAACGCGACGTCTGTGTGTGTTTGTGCCAACAGTCTAGCATACTCTGCAGGTACACACAGCATATATAAGCTTACGTTTCATCCACACCTCTGACAGTTCTGCTATAGTCTTCTTACCATCTGTCTGTGTTTCTATCTTCTCCATCATTTCTATTCCCCCGTCTCTCTGGATTCAGACTGCAGTAAGTAATCCCAAAATATATGACGTCTGAGTACTTTGATTAATATTATTTGTATGATATAACACAGGGGAGGCACTCTAGTTTTCCCCCTTGCTGGTAGCTTTTGCTAAGCATATGCATATACTATATATAGTATGTGATTTTGGTATGTCCTTAACACTCATTCAAATGGTAAGATTTTTCACCATTAATACCCCTTGTGCTTAAATATATTTTGTTAATTGACCTCGGTGAAGTGGTAGCAGTTGGAAGGTTTTTTAGGCTTAGGGAACGACTTTAACTTCCATGTAGTGAGGAAATGTGCAGTACCCTTGTTTAGATTCACTGAACTTCTGTAGATATCACTTTAGCTGTCTCCTCTCTCCCGGCCCATTGAACAATTGTCTCCTCATGTGCGTTGTTGCCTTTACCCTCACGTCTCTTAGTGTTGTGACTGATTGATGCACTAATGCATCCAATATGGGTTGATATTGGTTATTTGCATCATACTTTATCTTTGGACCAAAGCCCTGCACATCTGTTGTCATAATCATTTTAAAATATCAATATTTAATTAATTAAAAAACAAAAAAGTATTTTAAAAGTCATCTTTTTTTACTGTGCAGACGTTCTCAGTAACAGTCACAATACTTAGAGTCGTAATCAGTTAAGATGCAGGAACAAGTGATAGCAGTGTTGCTTTCGCCTCACTCTTTTTTTTCTTTGCTTCGCTCACCCTTAGACCATCAATTTTCACCTGTTTCAAGTCTTTTTTTCTTCTTTACCTCCACTTTTTTTTACTGGGGCAGGGTTAAAAAGTCTGTCATTGAGGAGGCCGACCACCAGAGGATTCTTGGCACCTTTGCCTGTCGCGCCAATGCAGCCCACGGCAACGGAGCGTTGCATGTCAACCTGCCCAAATCAGAGAGCAACGTGACCATCCTCTCTGACCGCAACCCACTCACCACTCACAACCCCGTGTACGATGACAGCAGCCCTGAGGTCTCTCCGTCTGAAAAGCGGTTCTCCTTTTCCTCTGCCCACTCAGCGGGGTCGGAGTACGTCTGGTCAATGCCTGCTCGCATTCACGATGGGCTGCACGGTTATGAGGCGCCAAGGAGACAAGCTCTTTTGGACCCAGACGACTGGGAGATCCAGTTACGCAAAGCAGCCATGAGCGGCGGGCGAAGGCCGGAGAGTTTGGACATGCTTCGCCTGAGTAGCAATACAGAGACCAAGTTGTCAGTCTGTGAACATGCCAGGCAGTTTGAGCAACAGGCCCTCCCGGAACAAACCCTCAAGCAGAGCAGTGGCTCCCAAGGCTCCCTCTGCTCCATCGTTGTCAGGGATAGAGACAGCAATGACATGCTGGAGCTGACCTCAGAAACTCTGCTCTCCATCATGGATTACCCCTACAGCATCACTTCTGTGGGCAGGGATGTGCCCCCCAGCATTATCATTAATCAGGGAGATGACTCAAGGCCCCTTGCTAGCCAGAGACCGACACCACCCATCCTCAGGAGGTTCAGCTCCAGCATCTCCAGCATCTCCTACATGACAGTTCAGCCTTGTCACATCACAGTGGAGATCATACCAGACCCACCAGAAAATCCTGCGCCTCCTCCTCCACGGCGACATCCACCTTCCCCACCCACATCTCCTCCCTCTAGTCCACCTTCTTCTCCACCTTCACCCCCCTACGTTCATGAACCTCAACATTCCCCTCACTCCTCTCCTCCTCCTGTCAATAAACAGGTTGCTCCCCCTCCTCAACATTCCCCTCAATCCTCTCCTCCTGTCAATAAACAGGTTGCTCCCCCTCCTCAACATTCCCCTCACTCCTCTCCTCCTCCTGTCAATAAACAGGTTGCTCCCCCTCCTCAACATTCCCCTCACTCCTCTCCTCCTCCTGTCAATAAACAGGTTGCGCCCCCACCTCCACCGCCTCTTCCTCCACCACCTCTTCCTCCCCCGCCTCTCCCTTCCCCACCCTCACCCGCTATCAGCAATCAGTCACGCCCAGTCGTCCAGTTTGTTCCAACCTCTTTGCCGCCCGTCTCCTCGCTTCGCCCCGTTTCAGAGCGAAAACATCCCCCTCCTCTTGACACATCACAAACTGATGTCGGGAAAAAGGAACTCAAAGGGATCCTGAAAAACATCCAGAATCTAGCCGACATAGAGAGATCTGTTGCCAATCTGTACAGCCAAGTAGACAAAACTTGCAAGGTGCCCAAGTTTAACAAGAAACCACAAGTGACTGAAGAATCAGAAGGTGCTAACAAACTGCACAGCTGTGATCCCTGGGATGAGCAGAGCACGCCAAAAACAACAAACTGCAGCACTGCAGTCCAAATCAACTCGACAACAAGTGTGAACTATGCTGAAAATGGAACGAGTGAACTGAACATGGCAACAGACGTTCAGCAGACAAGCCAATTGAACTTCAACAGCCCAAACACTGCTGAGCACTCTTCCTCTCAATCCACAGTGTTCTGACTTTTTTCTCTGTCTCCGCACTCTCATTATTTCCATTTATACATATCCATGCCTGCTTTTCTGGTTTCTAACTATGCTTTATTTTCTGCACAGTTGGTAGTATTTTATATAAGCGTTAGCCAAGTCTGATGGGTTTGACTGTGTGGGTCTTTCAGACAAAACATTTCTTTCCCTTGATACTTTGTGTGGAAATCAAATTGTAGTGCCTCCTGCCAAGAAATGTACTCAGCTCTGCCACATTGACTGTACAATGTGCTCACAGGCTTGCATTAGAACATAAAAGAGGCTTGCTTATACAGTCAGTTTGGCCCCGTTTTGCATGTTTGAATTATCTAAACTGCGATGAGATCTATGGTATGATAGTGTTAAGCATACCCCAGAGTTCATGTTATAGGTTATAGTTAGTGGTATAGGTTATTTTAGTTCATAATCTTAACATTTCAAAACCAAAGCTCCTTTAATTTGATTACACTAAACACCGACATTTATAAATCTCAAAGCCCGGCGGTCTGTTTCCTAAACCTTTTTCTGGCTGCATTTTTGACTTCTTCACCTAAGAGCAGAGCATGAATATTTAGGATGCTGTTGCTTCATGCAGAATCCAAATTAAATAAATAATAATGTTAAATGTTTGTTTTATTTTCAAATGAGGGGAAATTACCATAACTGTTAAGAATTCCCCAAAGGTATGCAAATACTATGAAACCATATTACATTTTTTTTAAACTACTTACTGTGATGAATGAATGTGAGGTATAAATGTTTCCGATGTATGATGGAGCGAAAAGAGTTACAACTAATTGTCATATCCACCCTTGAGCAAGGGAACAATATACACAGAAAGAAAATAATAATCTAGAAATATATACAGTATATAAAGCAACATTACATGAAATTGCATTGGATATTATTACGTTAAGACAGGCTACAGTAAATCCTTTTATTTAAAATGTAATACAGTTGAAAGCAGATACGACAGGGCCAAGCACTCCTAAGTGAAAACGTCTTATTTTGGCTATAAAAATACATTGACTGGGTTACCCGGCAGGCTCATGTTGAATGAAGAGAGCCAACCTCTGGGGGACCTGTCTATTCACATGTCTGCAGAGATCCTCCCAGCATGATAAAGTAGTCACTGTGATGTTCGGGTGCACACTGGAAAAGGCTAATTAGAGAACCAATCAATTGTTAACTAGGGCCGCTGCCTGTGGGACTGTCAACTACTGTTACCCTCTCCTTTTTTTTTCCATCTCTCTGACCTTCTGCCTTTCCCATTTGTCTGTGTTTCTCTCTCACTTCTTCTCCCCTGTAGTTGGTTCTAATACTCTCCAATCCTTGGCCTCTTCTTGTTAATCTTTCCTCGTGGTTCTCGGGAGATTCTATTACCTTCTTTACATTCATTGCAATGCGGCCTCTGTCCCCCTCTCTCTTCCTTTTTTTTGTGCTCAGGTTTTTTTCCCACTTCGACTCCTCTCTGTCTTTCTCCCACATACCCTTCATGTGTTTGTTTCACCCTCCATGGCCTAAGGCAAATGGTCTTAGCATACCTCCTTTCCAGAGCAATGTTATGTTTGATTTATCAAACGTTCCCCTGATGCGCAGATCGAAGGCCTGCTAATTCTGTATTCCATGTTCACGACATGGGGTAATCTCTTTTGTGAAAGGCAAGCAGCTCACATGCTGGTTTTTTTTCACCCAAAGAGCAGCAGGCGTTAATGAATGGTATTCTTTATGTTCCATTTTACGTTTTTTTTGTGTGTCCTTACTGATAAATCAATGCAGTAACATAAAAAAAACCGATCACTTGGAAGACAAAATTAAAACTTTTTACCAGTATTAATAATCAAAGTAACTTTTCTCAGGAAAAGTTTGAAAATAAGGGATCAAAAATCAAGACAAACTCACCAGATCTCATCATAGTATCTTCAAGAAAATACAAACCAAAGACCTTATGATATTCAAAATATTAGGCTGCAATCAGTATATAAATATGTACACACAAAATACTATAAGAGGGATCCTTGTCGCATGAAAACATCCACCTGCTCTTTCACCATATAGTGCATCATATTTTCATTGTTGGTCAACATTTTGGTCAATATGTTAGTCGCTTTTGTACCGAGAGTTTGATTAGTAGATCAATACCACTAGAGCAAGAATAAGCGTATTTCCCAAAATTTTGAACTAATCCTTTCACATTAATTTCTGCTACAACGGGTTATGTAAATGTTTGTTGTTGGTTAGGGTATTTGTGGCAGAATAGTAAAACTTATTGCATTGTTTTCTACATAGAAATGTGTAGTGACAAACATGTAAAGCGAGTTATTAGTGAAGATCACCTTACTGTTGTTGATGTAATACACTGGGTTCTTCAGTATTCAAGTCTTGCTGTAATTCTGAGCTCAACTCTCTCACCTCTTTTTCTACAACATTACCTTATCACCCATCTTCCCCCAAGTCCCCTCTTGTGCAATAGTCCTATGGCTGCTGTCCACTGGGCCATTTCTCTTGATGTGTCATGAATCAGCAGTAGCCAGCAGCCAAGCCAACAGGTCATCCATCAGACCCCACTCCCATCATCCACTCTGCCTGGGAGGTGTGGCCATATGGCTGTGCCCTGTCCCCTGGTCCCTGCCCATAATAACAGATTACAGCTCTCCTGAGGAAGCTCACATCATGGCTTGGCCATATATCTGAGTGCGAAAGTCGTCATTATTTATGGTCCCAGACAGGTTACAGTTGTACGCTTGTGAAACTGGAGGGTTCAGCCGGGCTGCTCCATTACTCGCCGTTTCTCATTGACTTGTACTGAATGCGCTGCAGATGCATTGTTGCCCTCAGGAGCAGCTCTGAGTTGTTGTTTAAGTCTTTGATGGAGTGGAATTCCTAAAATTTACTTTGCCGTCTGTTGATAGAAAATTGGCACATTGTGACGCGATACCTAAAGACTAACTAAAGACGATTTTATTGACATTCCTGGAGTCAGTAATTCCTCCCTGAATCACAATGCCCTTTTTTATATCTGCTAGGAGATTTATTTCTGTATGAACACTGATTGTTTTTCAAACTCCAATCTTCCCAGCCTCTTTGATATTTGCATTTACTCTTCTTTTTTTTCTCCGTGTTTGGAAGAGATAACATTGGGAAAAACAGCCCACACCAGCACGATAACATTGTGGCCTCAGGCATCCTTTTTTTTTTTTTTTTAACTGAACAATATCTGCAACTCTGTAATTTAACATATGAAAATGCACAGTAAGTAAATCTGCAATTTACTCACTGGTCAGCAGAATGTAGTGCTGTAGACTTAACAATTCAATTATTTTAAAAGCACTTGAAATGTTCCGGTCAATCCATATTCATTATTTGTCTTGTTTTCTCCTTTCTGCGGCACACAGCAGGCGAGGCAGACAGGTAAGCATTCCTGTTGTGATGTGTTCTTATCTCATTGTTGCGCCGAGACATTTTGTCACTCTCAAAGCAGGTTGAGGGAGCTTATATCCTATTATTCTTATCTACAACTGACTTGATGGAAAACTCTGAATGAGACTACGAGAAGATCCCGGTGATAGGACTTCTGACACTGACATTACAGTTTAGGTTTGATTTGAAAGTCTGTTGTAGTCCTTAATGTTCCTGTCAAACAGCAGATAAGCATTTGGATGACTTTTTCCTCCTGTGTTGGAGAAAGAAAACTAATCAGAGACCAAACAACTCTGTTTGACTTCAAATTCTTTCTTCTTTTTGTCACCTTCAAATAATCTATGAACTGTCAGCATCTGACACACACACACACAGGATGTTTTTGTTGCAATTTCTTACTTACTCTGATGCTTGACTAACATCTTCCCACTTTTTCCTTGCTTCATTTCCATCAATATTGTATCAATCTTTTCATCTTGCTCCTCTATTGTGTATAACATAGACCTAACAAGACACATAAACATGCCTGCACTGTCTGGATTTAAATGTGAAATGTGTAGAGTGAACTCTTCCTTATGTTTGTGTCTCTCCTGACCATCCCTTCCTTTCATTACCTTATCCTTCTTCTGTACTGATCTTTGGCAGCAACAGCAACTGCTGAGGCCATCTCTTCTGAGACCTGAGGTAGAAACCCTCCTGCTTTTCCTTAATTCACAGGGATTGTAGTATTCTGCTGTATACTCGCCCTGTATGCTGCTGCTGCTCTTCTTCTTCTGCCTTTCTCCGAGGAGTGCTGAGTAATTTCTCTCTCTGCCTCTCTGAAATGAAGGAACTCTCAATGGAGTCAGGTATCGACCCAGGCCAGGACTACACACAAGACTACTATAATTACGACCAAGGGTGAGCATGCAGCCCGCTGACCCACTGTCTCATCTCTCATCATTCGTACTCTGATCCATGGAACAGATCTCCCTCGGTTCATTTAAAGCTAAAACAATAACATCATTAGGACTTTATTTATTGTGACCTTGCCTTCCAGCTCCAATGCCTTAGGTCCTTGGGGCGAGGCAAGCATTTTAAAGAAGTTCAGAATAAAATGATGAGCATAACTTGTGCTTCCCCCTCAGCTGTACATAACATCCGAGCGGTTACCCTTTCTACTCCCATCAAATGAGATCAATTATACTGCCTTGAGTCGAGCACCTCAGAGTGTGATAGTGTTTTCCCGTGGTTTATTGGATAGAGGGTGTTTTGGCTTGCCTGTTACATAGCCCATATGGTCTAAAGAGGGAAACATGGAACTCAAAGCCGTAACAGATGCTGGGAAATTGTTATTCATTAAACGCCCCCACTCTATGGCAGGTGACTTGCACCACACTGGGGAATTACAAGTTTATCAAAAGAGGGAGAATATTCTGAACTTTACCGGCTTAAAATGCTGAAAGAAAATCTGACAAAGTTTAAAACCTACCATATTGAAATTAAGAATTGTAATTGCCTTCGTAGTTGCTCAGCGACTTACTGTATGTAATCTTTACAAACTCTAATTAACTCAGCTGTTGCTCACGCTGTTTGAATCACGCTGGCTTTCATTTGCAACAAGCTGTAATTATATTTGAACAGTATGTCACAAAGTTCATTGTAAAAGCTGCTATTGCCACTGTGACTGGATGCCTTTGATGTGTTTCTATATGCACCGAGCACACTGTAATAGCGGTCAAGCTTTTAATCTGGCAATCACCAGACCGTGCAATGCGCCGCCTTCGCATGTTCAGAAGGTGGCGATGACACAAATTACCATCAGCGTCTTTCCTTTAGGGTCTTCTGTAATTTGCTATTGTTGAGTAAGAGGAATAATTTACATGTTCAGTATCAATGATCCAAGCTAATTGAGGTCATCCACCACACTAATGCAGACAACCTAATGGTTGAAATATTAAAAGTATGAGATACAAATATAATAGTTAAATGATTAAATCTCTTCTTCTTCCTTGTCTTTCATTTTAATCTCAATTGGCAAAAAAATAGAACTGCACTATGGGTTTTTCTTTTTTTTTTTAAAAGCTCTGTCAGCCTCTGCAACTTTCTTTCTTTCTATTATATCCCTCCAAACTTACAACGTGCAGCAAATCACCACAGCAATTACTGCCTATCCCATGCCATCTTGTTTACTTTAGGAATTATTCAAATCACAAGTTAAGTGTCAAGGTAGTCCACAGTAATTATAAACCCTGTGTTCTTGTTCATATTTTGTGTGAATCTATTTCTCAGGTATGACATTCCTCAGTATGGCAGCCGGAGGAGGCTGATACCTCCCATGTATGATGAATATGGAGAGGTGATCATGGAGGATGATGGGTATTTCTACAGTCCTCAAGGCGCCGAGGTATTATCTTTCCTTAGATGTGAATTTCATACTTGCATTGATAATGTCAAGATTGTTAATTATTGTCTTAACAGGTTGTGTGTCCAATGTGTTATTGAAAGCAAAGTGTCAACCCTGATTTATCATCACAAAAAGTTGCTGAATTAAATATGACTGTCTTAGGATCGGGGCAGAGGCAGGGGACGTGGTCGAGGTGCACCCAAGAGGGTTGCATTTAGGGACATGCCGCCAGGGGATGAAATCGAACAAGCTGAGCCAGCAGAGCCTTCTAAGGCTGCCAAGAGACTGAAGTCTGTCATGAAATTCAGTAAACTCCTGGCAGCCAGCAAGCAGCCGTCTGATGCTGGTCCTTCTGGCACATCTCCATGGAAGAAAGCCAAGATGCTCAAGATGTTTGGTGCCGGGAAGAAGGACCAGGATTACGCCAAACTGATGTCAGCCCGTCGTATTGACAGCCAGGAGAGTCTGAGTGGCGGACCAGCAATTTTGGGACCTATTGATAGCAAGACTGATACCCGCAGCCGGCTTGGCAAGGTTTTGAAGAAAATCAATTTAGGCAACAGGTTGCAGTTTCGGAGGAAGTCACAAAGTAGTGTGAGTCGTGGCTCGGCCACAGGCAGCGAGAGAGACGAGGAGGCCTCACAAGTAGCCAGTGAAGATGACAAGTCTAAAGTGTCCATTAGTGTTACAGAAAGTGAGCCAGAAGCAGGTGCAAGTGGAAGCGGAAGTGGTCGGGAGAAAGACTCTGATGAAGAATCCTCGGAGAAAAGCAGTATTGACAGAGATTATCTGAAAGTAGATTTGGACCGGGATGATGCCAATGAAAGCACTGTGGACTCAGAGGAAGAGCCTGATGAGGAGCCGGGGGATTCTGATGAAGAAAGCAAGTCCAAATCTGAAGGAGAAGAAACAGAAAAGGAATCCATCAGTGAGAAAGAATCTGGGACTGAAATAGAATCCGAGTCGGAGAAAGAGTCAGAGTCAGAGAAGTCATCGGCCACAGAGAAAGAATCAGACACTGAGAAAGACTCAGAGTCTGAGAAAGAGTCAGAGTCTGAGAAAGAGTCAGAGTCTGAGAAAGAAACAGAATCAGGAACAGGCACAGCAACAGAGAAGGAAACAAGCACAGAAAAGGATTCAGGGACAGAAAAAGACTCTGATGAAGAGTCTGAGGAAGGAGAGGCTTCAGGGAGCACTAAAGGAAGTGGGTCTTCTGCCCGCTCTTCTATGAGATCATCAGGTACTGAGGCCAGCAAGGGGAGCAGTGCTTCAGGCATCAGTGGGAGTGGAAGTGGAAGTGGGAGTAGAAGTGGGAGTGGCAGCAGGACTGGTACCGGAGTAAGTGAAAGTGCAAGTGAGAGTGGCAGCGGTAGCGCGGGTAGAGCTGCATCTTTATCTGGCTCAAGTGTTCGGTCGCCACAAAGGACCAGATCATCAGGAAGCACAGTGGCCTCAGAGAAGTCCAGTGAAGAACTCAGTGAGGGCGAGTCAGGGACAGGGACAGCCAGTGAGGCAGAGTCAGGAAGTGAAGGCTCTATGTCCCGAGGGTCCAGCCAGAGGAAAATGTCTGGTTCAGAGTCCGGTGAAGGAGCTTCATCCGGCAGACAGATGACAGACCAGAGTTCCCTGGGAAGCAGGGAGAGTTCAGCCGGATCCCGGTCCACCAGTGGCAGCCGGCATTCTCAAAAGTCCATTCTGAGCCGCGGATCTGAGGACACAATCACAGAGGAGAGTGAAGAAGAGGATGAGGAAGAATCTGAGACTGCTGACGAGAGCAAAGAGTCAGCCAGTGAGCTCAGTGATGACGCATCGCCCTCAAGGTCCAGTGTGGGGTCCAGAGACCCTGGGCCCTCTGCTTCCTATACTGGTACATCATACAGCTCCGAGATCAGGAGCATCGGTGACACCTCTGTAGAAACATACGGAGGACTGTCCCCCATCACTGAGGTGGACGAGGACGCCATCTCCTCTGACAAATCCTCAGAGGGTGGATCCGCATCAGAGGCCGGCAGTGCTTCGAAGGACTCAGAAACAGAAGAAGCTACGTCGGATGAGTCTGAAGGAAACTCGACTGCCTTCTAGAGAGATATATTGTCCACTGTGAAGTAAGAGTGAATAAAATCAATTACCCTTGCATGGGAGTGAAGAAATATTGCTTGCCACTGCAGAGTGTTTCAAACGTCCACTTTTTCCTCATTTCCCCCAAGCAAGTAAAAGTGTTGGTGGTTTCCTGCTGCAAAACATCAGAGTCTTGCTCTCTTTCTTACACCTTTGACTTATTCCTCTCTTTGATGTTTTCTGAGTCTTTTTACACCTGTGCCTTTTGTATAACAGTATGCTCTTGTTTCTGCTGTGAGATTTTGCATGTTGCAGTACTATCTGGTTTTACTGAATCTTTTCCTGTCATTTTGAATACACAGTATTACTCTTTTCCACAGAAAAATAAGAGTTCTCGCCATAAATTCAGTTCTAACACAGAACTGCAGATACTTGATCTTTTTCAGAAGTATGATTTATTTAGTAGTACAACAATCCCACTTAAAAGTGCAGTTATATTACTGTAAATACACTATTGTATGGTTGGATGTCCATATTTGATTGGTAGCATTAATTAGGTTTGCGGAAGACATCTTTGTTTCAGTATATGATAGTCCTCAAATATATACAAGCATAAATTCTTCTAAAAACATGAGTATTTATTTTTTTGGGGACAAGGGAGAAAATGATGGCGAGAATTCCCTGTGAATACCGTGATCTTGATACCTAGTGTACAACCTAGCTAGCTATCTGCATTGTTTGCTTTTTTTTATGTATACTGCACCTTCTGTAAAACCTAATGACTTTGACCCCTTCGCTCCTCCTCAGCCTGGGAAAAAGAAGCGGATTAAGCTGGTGGTAGATCGGGAGAATGAGACCAGCTCCACAGGGGAGGAGAGCACCACAGAGACTCAGCGAAACCGACTCCCCAACAGCCACAGCAACATCAACGGGAACGTCTATCTCGCACAGAACGGCACTATCGTCCGAACTTGGCGGCCACCCCACCCAAACAACTTGAAGGTGGGCTCTCCGTGCCGGCTCGGTAAGCATTTTAAAAAACTAGAGAAGTTGGGGGTGACTCATGAAGAACCCCCACCCATTCTTGGCGTTGATGACACAGGAAACGATACAGAAAATGGAGCAGGTACATGTGTTCCCTCTAACGTGGACATCAACCTCAACAGTCGGCCCTCCTGTGGCTCCCTTGGATCGACCGTCACAGATCTTAAAAGTTTTGGGTCCAAAACCAATATTTCCAAGGTCTTGATTGACAGAAACAGCAGTGGCCCTTGTGTCAATGAGGAGCAGGAGACTTCAGTTGACAACCACAAGGAGAGTAGGGAGACACTGGAGTCTCACAGTGACCACACATTATCAGACGAGGAAGAGTTATGGATGGGACCCTGGAACAGCCTGCACATACCAATGACAAAACTCTGACTTACCATGCAGAAAATACATCTCCTTTTTGTTATTTTCCTATCTTTACCACTTTGTCTTTGTGAAGAAAATGATCATAAAAAAATGATTGCGTGCCTCAAGTGGATAAGCTCTGATCACTGTCTACAACAGGCGATTGCACTTCAAGTCAAATTTGATTTAACCATAATACATTAAGCTTACTTTCACCAAGCATTTATCAAAGACAGGGCTATTACAGATGGGACCATAGCGCTGCAAGGCAATGAGTGCCTCAAAGAAAAATGAATTTTTATGTGAACCGTTGACTGTAATTTTAAGTCTTTATTCAAGACAGAAGATGGGCCTCCTTTATTGAGTGATTCCATGTTTAACTTTATTTTCTCAGTTTGAGTTTTTTTGTTTTTTGTTAAACAGATCACAAAGAGATTGTAATTAGTTCCACTATAGATATTTACAGAATTGTGATTATACAGTAAAGTAAAAGAAAATTATTTTGCTAAAAGCATTTTACTTGCAAATAAGTAAGATTGTCTTGATTATTTTATGTCGTGATCACTTGACAATGTTTTTGGAAATTTCTGAAATTATATGAAATTATTTTTGTCTATTTTGTATCTAACAGAGATGGAGAATCTAACATATGACATTAAAGACAAAATACCCACATGAATGTTAGCGCTGTATTTCAACAGTGAGATATGACGGTGTGATTATATTGTTTTTATAAGGACTTTTGTAACTACAGAATGTGGTATTTTTAACCCCTTTACATGATACAGATTCACTCTGCTCATAATAAGTTATTAACCGACACATCAGGAACCTGTAGGGTGGCAAAGGACTGCCAAAAAATGTACCAGATTCATCATTAATGTTCTAACCTATTTTAATGTGTATTGTGAAGCATAATTGCAGGATTTGATTATTTCTGCCACTTCATCCTATCCTCAATATGAAGGTACTTTAGCAACGTGGACAATTTGGTTAATAGCAGCTTTCATTTTTGAGAATATTGCAGTGCGTCATTGTGTGCCTTTATGACAATGTGAAGAACGCTTGGGGTTATAAAGATACAGTCCTTGGATGTTATGATGGGGATGAAAGTTGAAAATAGGGTAGCACACAGCAGAAGGACTCAGCAGTAAGCTCATAACAATATGTCTGCAGAGAGAGCTATGTCAGAATGAGTCCTTCTCTGTGCAGTGGGCTTTCTTTCTAAAGAAGAGCAATGACAGGTCACCAAGCATGGGGATATGAATAGTTACTATATCTCTGAAAAGCAGTGGGGAGTATGCGGAGAAGTCTGAGAAACTGACAGCCTTCTTGAGCCCACTCTCTCACCTGTCAACAGAAACTGCAAAAAAAAAGAAAAGATGGCAGTGATTGCAACCAAAAAGGCAAAATCTGATGGAAATCTCAAGCACATTCTCTTTGTTTGTTTCTTGGTTGATAGGAGATTGACACTTCTAACACATCCAGAATGACATTTACAAAAAAGTGTCCTGCAGTCAATCAAGCTGTGAGAATGCCAATCAAGTTCACAGAGTTCTTTGGAGGCTGTAGTTGAGAAAGGAGACGGAGTTGAATGCCAGAGTGAAGTAGCTTGAAAAAGCTGCTCAGAAAAATAGGTCAGGAGGGATCCTGGTTCCCACCACAACGAGCCCGGTGTCCTACAGGATCAAAACAAACCTCTGCACTATGCTGATGGGAGAAGAACAAGATATGGAAGCACGACCTGGGGGGGGGGGGAAAGAAAAAAGATCAGTCTGTTTTAATTGTCAGTTTTGCAACTGTTTAATGTGTGACATCTTGTGTGGATACATTTTGGGATGTGCACAGAGAAGAACAGGGTCTCTCTATTGTTCACTGTCTATCAAGAGCTCCACTCTGCATGCACCCTCACAGGAGAGCAGCACTGTACAAACCCTGTTCAGTGCAGATAGGGCTCAATGTGTTTGGCAGTTTTCTTAGACAACTTTTATCGTTCAAAAATCTTTAAAGTAAATACAAAAAAAAAAAAATCAGGAACCAGAAAGACAAAATAGAGCACTAGATATGAAATGCATCTGTGCCCTCGTCTCCTCAAACACAAGGACACACTTCACCAATCTCTCCTGATGAATTGGATTAAAGGAAGCGTTTCTACCGAGCATTTCATTCTGTCACAGGATTATGTCCCGAGCATTTTTTTGACTCTTCGCCCTGATCATTTCACTTAGTAGATTAAATTACAGCATTAAGAATGGAAATATCCCTGCGGTAATTTTTTTTTTTTGGGCTCGAGAGAACCCACAATCCAATGTCTCTTCAAATAGGATTTTCTTATCATTTGCATTTAAATATTTCTAAAACAAGACTGTCAAAGGATGATGAAATGTTGCACACCTACCGGATATTTCTAAGAAGATCTGAAGTTCCATTTACTGTTCACTGTCACAACATTGGTTATCTGTCACAGCAGAGGCAAGAAAAAACAAAGTGATTATCTGCAACACAGAGATTCCCTGCTCTGATCCACAGAAAAACACTGTTGTCACAAATTCTTGAACAGGTTCATCAAAGTTAAATGAGATCAAATGAAATAACAACTTAATAAAAGCCAGTATAATTGGATAAAATAAGAGGATGAAATATGGGGAGACATTAAGTTTATAGAAATTAAAAACAATCTTTTAAACTCCATGCAGCACAAAAGGCTCGAGCCACTGAGCAAGACGAGGCAATTTTAAAAAACTAGATGTTAAAAACATTTTCATTTCATTCCTGCGCTGGAAGAAAAATGGCAAAACATACTTTTCAGTGGGAAGTAGGCCACCAACGCTTATTGCTTCAAAAAACAATTTTTAATTTGGTAGTTGACATTTAACGTCTTCTCATTTGCTGCACAAATATAATTTCCATCTCCCAATTCGTCTTTATTGTGACGAGACAAAGAAGAGAAGAAAGTTCTCTTCTATTATCTAGAAAACAGCCAGAGATACGTATGTATTCCCTTTCTCAAGTTGCATTACATTTCAATTCTGCTGCGACAAGGTGACCTGTATAATCCTTTTTTTCTAAATGTGTTCTCATGAGCTTCCTTTACAATCATGGGAACTATGGGAATAGATTACATTAATACAGATATGCAATAGTTGTAATGTAACATGCACTTCAAAAACCATCGCTTTGGTCCAAACTGGAGTATCTCAGGGACGAGTAGTGACTGGTGATCCCCTGACTTTGACCCACGCTGAATTGTAACAGCTTTGGTAACTTTTCAACGAGACCAATCATCAGGTCAACATTTATTATTTGTGAAGTACCTTGTGTTTATGACCAAATACCTACAGGTGGCTGTACGCCTTTAGTCTTGTGTGGGATATAACATGAATGTAGATCTCCAGCTGCGTTTCTAGTTCATCAAAACATGAATAGTTGCGCTCATGACAGTTTGTACGAATGGGTGACATCTGCAGTAATATATCATCAGTTTCCGTGTCCGTAAATTGTTATGACAGTAATCTGGGCTTCATAGTAAAGCAGATGTGTAGAAATCACCTCAGGGGTTCATTTAAATGTATTTATACGTCCTGCAAAATAGGTTCTGCCACAGTTTGTGTTTATGTGAAGCAATTTTCTGATGCAGTAATTCTGTAATAGACCCGTGGATGTAAATCACGACACAGAAATACTGCTGTGCTTCACAGAGATTCATAAATCTTGAAAGGTTTTACGGAGGGTTATTATTCATACACCGGGGGGAGTCTGCAAAGTTGGTAATGCAATGCATGCACCAAACAATGGAGCAGAGTCTCGCTCTGTCTCTATGCTAGCTTGTGACAGTTTGTTTAATCTAAATGGTCTTTTGAGGCCTTGTTCCTGGCCCTTTAGTTTAATCAGTGCAACGAGCTTGTGCATGCCGATCAGATCTCTTCAGCAAGTGAACACATTTATTGGCTTGCTGAGGATGTAGTACCGCTGTCGCTGATAGAGCCACAGAGGTCCTGATATGTGAACATTCAATTTGACAGGAAGAAGAAGTGGGAGCAACTTCAAAGAAATGTATCAATATTAAATCACCTTGTAATCAAATATTCATAGTGAATGTAAAATAGAAACATAAGCTCAATAGGAACTTGGATTCAGATCTTTTTTTTTTTTTTTTTTCCAAATACAAAAGAGTCAGTAGTCTGTTATGTATCAACCATGTGGATTAATGATTCTCTGATGACATTATATGGCACATTTTTCATGCCATTTTCTTGCATTTGATGTAACAAGAATTATATTCTGGAGAGCTTGCCCGTTGATAGGTTAAAAAAAAAAGTTATCCGACGTACTTTTGATGCCATTGCAAAGAGCATGCCTATTATTGTTATCGCTAATGTTTAAAAACACAATTCACGTTTCAGGAATGTTCTGTGCTATACTAGCAAACTGCCCAATTTTGAAACACTGATGAATCAAAAGTCATGGAAATGTCACAAATACTGCGTTTGTAGAAATACAGCATTGGTAATTGTCCAGAACGAAACAACAGTCCTTGTTTGCATGTACAGAGTAGATGCAGCATTTGAATTACTGTTTGTTTGCCCACATTTGTTGATCTTTACCCAGCGTGTGTGTGAAAAAGCAAATACAGTAGCCACTTGTATCACATGTAAATACTACATGTCATAAATGTGTAGAGATGTTTGTTCACTGAAGCCAAAACATAAGCATGCAGATTTGATTTTCTGTGTGCACAGGAGGAGCGGCTAATACATTGTCATGTTCACTTGCTCAGGAAGAGGATTCCCAGATACAGGTAGGCATTGTTCTCATTCCAAGTCCACCGGCAAGCCCCCTAAGTTTCACCTATTAGCATAGCCTATATAGGATATCCTGGCCTACAGCAGGCAATATGGTAATCTACCCATGACTCATTCTAAAGGAGATTATCACAAATCCCCAACGGAGGCAGGAGAAACTCCTCATAATACCTATCCTTCACCATTGCTTATTGCATACCCAGACCTGGAGGGCAGGACTCTTCGGTTCCTCCCAAATAAAATTATCCATTTCATCACTTCAGTCTTGGAGGTCACGCATTTATTCACTTTTGCAAAATCAGTCGAGGATAGGAATACAACTGCAAAAAAAACCAAAATAACACATTTTGTGATCCTGAGCCCAAATACAGAGGCTGAGAATTGTGTGCTTTGTGAACACACACCACAGCTGGTGAAATTACAGCTCATGCCATGCATCTGGGTGTGTCATTATTTTTGTTATGCAGTGAACTCTGCCCTTTTACTCATTAAACTAGATCAGATCTGCCCTGCAGCCACCACAGGGACTGATTGGAATAGTTCAATCCTGCAGGGAAAACTGAGGCTGGTCACAGGTTGGTTATTACAGCGGAGCCACTTTAGATGGTGCTGTACAATACTGTTCATTTCCAAACACGCCATCCAGTGTAGGGGTCATTTCTTTGATATACAAAGCTGTGAGGTGCAGGTCTTTCGTTTTCTTCAGCACACAGGTAGAGTACAGGATTCTGTGTGAATTGTCTTCATTCTTTGATTTGAGGGAAAGATATTTAAATGAATAATATGCGACTGACCGATGCATATGTGTTCAGGACATCTCTGACTACACCCATAATGAAAATCAAACATTTTTACAGCACCAATTAA